CAGAGGGCTGAGGCTTGTAATTCATCCATGTGCAGATTAATCCATGTGCAGGAAGGAGACTTGGGCAGCTAAGTGCATCAGAATCAACAGCGCCTCAGGTGTCAAAGCCCTGGCCGGCATGGGTGTGTTGGCTGCGGCCAGGAAGAGCAAAAGACACCAAGCGCCTGGGACAACCGTCAGGCATCTGGGGAGTTGTTCTGGATTCAGGTCCCTCTTCGGTAGTCTTGAAAATAAAACTGACATGATGGCTTCAATAATTCTGCTGGAGCCAGAGGCGGAGGTCAAAACAAGCACCCCGCATCACCCCTTCTCTGGCCTTCTGTGAGCTTGTGCTCTGTGTTGTCCCTCTTGCGTCAGAATTCAGCTTTCCCCCGTCCTGATCAAGGGCATGTCCTCGGTAGGCCACGCAGTGCGCAGACCCGATAGGAGGCTCCCTGAAGCCCACAAAACATCATCAAACCCTCAAGTCAGGTGGGCAAACAGCTTCAGAGCTGAGGTTGCTAGGGGTGCTGTCGCCGCTGCTTCAAGACCCACTGTGGATGACTGGATGGTGAAGCCGATGGAGAGCCAGGTGGGGCCGCCCCCTCCCCCCCCCCCCCCCCCCCCCCCCCCCCAAATAGAGCTCAGACCGTGACTTCTCTAAGCATCTCTAAGCTAGGGACAGCTTTTCGGGTGGGACCACACTGTAACATAGTTGTAACATGATGTAACATGGACAAAAGGGACTACAAAGGATCACAGCATCTTGGAGCTCATGCCCTGACATTTGACCATAGTTTTCAGGATGCTTTTAGAGGTGCAAGGGCCCGGCCCCCCAAAGCTCCAGCTAAACAGGAGCTGCTCCAGCAGAGCCGCCCAGCGCACTGGGTTCTCCGCACCGCGGACGATGAGCAGAGTCGCAAACTGCAAGCATCCGCAAGCTTGAGTTGTTTGCTTTGAGAGCTCTTGTCTTGAGCACAGGCACCACGGACGTCAAGGCCAATTTACGGTTCTTCACAAAGATCTTCGGCATGAAGGTCTTAAGGCACGAGGAGTTCGACAAGCCCTGTGCCATCACTTGCAACGGAGAGTTTCAAACTCCCTGGTCGAAGACAATGATTGGCTTCGGGCCCGAAGACGAGGGGTATTGAGCCTTGCAACAGCTTCGGTAGAACAATTTCAGATTTGTTTTTGGCTAGTTGCTGCCAGTATGGATGTAAAGACCGACCGTTCAACAGACAGAGCTTTCCAGCGTGTACAACTTCTTCTCCTTTGTTCCTTCCGCTCCTCTTTCTGTTAAAGTTATTTCTTCTCCTTTTTCTTGTGTCCTCTTTTCAACTAAACTAAGCCTTCTTAGCCGGGCGGCCGCACCAGCGACAGAATTGGCGGCGGTAGTGCGTTTCCCCTGCGTCTCGCGCGCTTGTTAGGTCTCGTCCTAGTCGCAACTTCGGCAAAAGTGACCACGCGGAGCGTTTCCAAAATCGCCCGCGCTCATGGTGGTGTCGTGGTGGTTTCAGGGTTCTGTTACTCTGAAGCTCTTCCTCAGACACGATGACCATTCTCCTCTACGGCACCAGAACCCTGCACTTCGAGCACCGGCGCGCCGCGGCGTGCCGCGGCGACGGAGCACTGCGTTTTGGAGCGCGTTTGAACACGCGTCGAGCACCCTCTCGGCGGGGTGTCGCATCGCCGAAGCCCTGCATCTTTTGGAAGGCGCTTCGGGACAGGGCGGGCTCTGGAAAGTGATCTGTTGTAGAAATAGACGATTAGCGACTTATGCGGAAGCATTCCTCCGCCTGGTGAGGAAGCCGCTTGCAAACACCCTCGCCAATATCGTGTGTACGGAATTCCGTGCCGGCAAAATCCTCGCAAAATCCTTGCAAAGTGGTGACGGAATCCATTTCAGCCAAAAAGCCTCGCGGCAAGAACACAATACAAGGCCTGGAGCTGACCTACAACTATGGCGTGTCCGACTACGAGAAGGGGACCGGGCTGGAGCACATTGCTGTGGCAGTGGCGGATCCCAAGGACCTGCAAATTTAATTGGGTTTTTTGGGGTCAGTGCTAGCCTCTCCAGCTATTGCCGGCAGCAGCACTCGCAGTTCAATAGCTTGTGTATGGTGGCGCCGTAAAGAGTGGCCATGGCCTGCACGGGCATGACAGCGTATGCGTGGCACGGAGACGTAGAGGAACAGAGTGGCCATAGTACCGCAGGAGGCACTCAGCAAAGCTGCAGACATGGGGTATGCCGTGGAGAGCGACATCATTACTGGTCCGGATGGCTACAAGTTCCGAGTGCTTCCGCAAGAGGACAGCGACATCATGCTAGTCACAGTTGCACAGCTCAACTTGAGAATGTGAGGGCAGACTGTACGGACACTAAGACCGGCTGGGACCTTTGCACCTTCGTGTTGCTCTGTGCAGGATGAGGACGCGGACCCTTTTCGGATTCTTGCCTCCAATGTTCGTTTCACTGCACTTGAGTCGTTAGTTCTTGGGTTGCCTATTTGAGACGTGCTGACAAGGTATATTGCCTTGAAGGTGAAGGACCTGGAGCAGGCTACCAGGCCCTGGCACCCCGCTTTGTGAGACTGGCTGAGATCTAGGTGCCCTCTGCAATGCGCACCTTCAAAAGTGGAGAGGTTCTACTGCGAGACTTGCGGCATGGACGACACAGATGCTGTTCCAGACTGCCCCATCTTTGGCGAGGGTGCCAAGGCTCGACCCTAAAGTAAACCCATGGAAGCCCCATAATAAACCCCAGAGTGAGAGTCGACGCCCAGCAACCTGCAATTTTGTGCCGTTTCACGATGGGTGCAGGTTGTCCGGTATCCTCAGCAGCTACCCCTTGTTCTCTTTCTGGACAAGGCTACATGGGCAGCATTGCCACATGGCGAATATGTACAAAGCTTCACCGCCTAGAAACATCTCATGGAGCGTGTGCGTTGAACATCTGAGTCTGCATCAGCATAGACCACGGTAAAGGCACAAGCACTTGCATATGCACCGGGATTGCGCACAAAGCTTGGCAGGATGCTGCGCCTCCGCACGTCACGCAGTGGGAAGGGCGTCATGCCATTGCGGTGCCTGGGAAAGCCCTGCGAGCTGTGTACAAGCGCATCCTGGACAGACAAGGCGTCTGATGGCTCTTTCTCATCTGAACCCGCCGCGAGTCTGTGTATGCACATGTGCATGTGTGTACGTATGCTTGCCAGCATCCAACTGCAAAGTGCTGTGGTTCCTCGATGTTCCTCGGGTAGCAGCAGTGCAGATGGAAGAGATGCAGGCAAGTGCGGCAGCGTGCTGCACCACATCCGGGTGCCTTGGCCACTTGGGCACGCTCTCGACACAAGATTGTGAATAGATGATGACAGGTGCAGGCTCTTTTATCGGAACCTGTGCCACTCATTCTCGAGGTTAATTGAGAAAATTATAAAATACTAATATCTCAAACTTAAAGCCTGTCAGTTTGTGATTGTGTGGGCTGGAAAGCCGCACCAGCATGATTTCAACACCGGCCTTCCTTCTGGTGCCCGTGCGGAGGATTGTGAACTTAGTGTGATTCAGAGGTTCTGGGACTCGTTGATTAAGTTTGGCTATATCTTGCTTTAAAGCGGCGCTCCAGCTGCCAGGAGTTCAATGAGTTGCCAGCCCTGCGGCGGATGCGTGGCCTGCCACCCATGGCTTGCTCCCCCCCACCGGAGGCCTGGGCTGTCTGGATCCTTGAACGGTTAGGGTAGGATCGCTGCGCGGACTTTGGAAGAACTAGGGTCAACAAGGGCACCAGGGCTCCACGCGGCCACAGCACAAGTACAAACATGGCAAGGATTCTGATCGAACTCTGCGTCAGAAGCCTATCCTGCAGAATTTGAGACGGGAGGTCCACAGGAGGTGTGAAGGGGCCCGCTGCGAACTTGAGCTGGCGGATGGTTGACTTGCTTAGTGGCCTAGATCCATTTGAGTCAAAATCAAAGACCCGTTCAATTAGGCCACCTCTTGGCCCGACCCGCCGTGTCTGAAAGCCTTGTTTTCTCTGGGCGGCCGCAGTGGTTTACATATGTTGAATAGAAGAGCTGCAGCGGTTTGCATGAGCCAGGTCGATTGCTGATACCGAACCGAGGGATTCAGGTGTGAAGGGGGAGTTTCAAAGCTTGTTTGTTGAGCGTACTGGAGTCCTGGCTTGATGTTCGTCCATGTTTACTTCTCAGACCTTCAAGTTTAGTAGGCGGCCGCAGTGATTTGCCTAGGATGAGATGTAGGATAATGATTTCAGAACGGATTTTTGACAACGACTCATTTGAGTCACGGGCCCGTGGGAAGACAAGAAAGTTGCTCAGGAACACGAGGTTATAAATATTATAGACGATGAGTCGAGTGATCAGGTGCCGGTACAGTTAAGTAGACAGACCATCTTGAGTTAGCATCATTTGGTGTCTGGTGTTTCTGATGATGCCAAGCTGCTTGTGTCGCAGAAGTGTTGCCCTGCAGTGCGGCTGGTTCTGTTGGGCGGCAACTGCCAGTCTTTCACCTACACCTTCAACCCAAAATGTTCAATGCAAAGCAAATCCCAATGCCCAGCGGTGTGGCCTGTGCTTGGTGGCCTCCAAACGAATCCCAATGATCCAACTGCTGGCCAGGAGCAGCTGCAGAATCTGCGCAAGAGTCCTCTCAAGCCGCCACCGGCCTGGAGCTCAGCTTGCCAGGATGTCTACAGGGCATTGGTCTGGGGGTTTAGGTGTTCACTTCGTCGGAGGTTGTGTTCATGTGTTTGGCGCCTGTACAGGGTTCTGTACCCTGATTCTGCACAGGCCCAGCTGACATGCTGATAGGCCTTGCAAACAAAGATGCGTGTTGTCCCATTCCTGGTGCAGACGAGGAGCTGGAGTCTGGAACCCTGGCTGTGGCGATAGTCAGGGATCCCGACGGCTATGAGCCCTTTGGCTCTGATTCGGAGTCGGGGCTCGTGCCGCTATCCCTGAATTGGTGGAGGAACATGCTCCAACTAGAAGCCTTGCTTCTGCATGCCAGCAGAAACGTGTCCCGCCCAAGCCGAATGGCAAGCACCGTTAACGTTTTTTTCTTTTCCTTGTCTGCCCCTTGCTGAGGATTTGCTTGGTCAGTTCCGCAGCTCGGCTATGCTGATGTCCATCTTGAGATGAGCGACCGTCAAAATTAGCGTTGACTAGCTTTAGTAAGGCGATAACCCCAACATGATGCTAAACAATGTGCGATGGAGGGGCTTAGTATGAAATTAGCGGAAGAGCGTTTTAACCTGCAGAACGATATGGGATACGCAGAAAACGATAACTGCAACATCCATGTCCTTCAGCTTAACAAGTAATATTGACCGCTTCCCTCCAGACGGTCAGCTTCGGTATCTCATGTCGGCCACGGTTCACGTAGCAGGATGGAAAATCCGAGGGGCAAGGAAATGACAAAGAACGCTGAGGTATTAGGAAGAACTCCCCGAAGGATGACCCCTACAGGACCGCAGGTGCCACTGCGCACCCGGTGGCATTCGGTAACATAAGCTGGCACGCAAGCTCTTCGGAGAACTGTTCGGTCCCAGGAGACATACCTTCAGGCTGTGAGGCCACGGGCTGCAACCGTCGGGAAGAGTGAGCAGAGTGATGAGAATGAGAGAAGACCTCCTTCTTTGGAGCCAATCAAAGTCTGGCATTGGATTTCCTAGAGCTCCTGAAGACCAGACCCGCAGAAGTTGATCTGACACGCTTGGCACTCGGAACAGTGTGGAGGATCCAGTACGGGCGGGCCTTACTCCAAAGACCCCCTAGATTAATAGTAGAACAGGCGGTAAAGAATGCACGCGCCTGAATTTAATATGATTATGTGGCCCTTTTCTCCACCACAATGATAATATTACTAGTAAACGCGTGCTTTATCCTTACCTTGTAATATACCCACTACAATCCGCACTTCAAAACCGCCCGACCTCCTGAACGATGACAGGCTTGCCTACAAGCCCGATGCAAAGATCGACTGGCATTGGCGAGGAGAGGCCATGGCAGGGCGTCGGTCGCCCACACCAGACTTCATGGTGGCCTGGCAGCACTGTTTTGACCGGACAGTCTAAGCCACACCTCAAAAGCCGGCGTCGGCAGTGGGCAGATCGACTTGTACCAGTGAGGCTAGTGTTCCCGAGCTCTGGATGATACCCGGGAAGGTCCAAACTTGTTTACAACTGACTGGGATTTGACTTTGAGGTAGTGGTGTTGCAGGTACCTCACCTATACAATTGGCCCAGTTTTTGCGCACGTCTCTCTGTGCACGCGAAGTGAAGGTGGCCTGCATCTAGCCAAGATTCACCGGTGGAGGCGGATGGCCTGTCCGTTGTAAACAACGCATTGGATTTGTGCAGCCATTTGCTGTGTAAGCCCTTAACTCCAAGTGTGTTGGTCCAAGACTTTCTCACAAGCTTCGACACGTTCATGAGATCAAGACCTTTTCCACCACCAGCAAGTTTGTTTTTTTGCCTTGGAGGCGGGCGAAGGCGCCAGCATCCAAAACCTCCAGGCGGGCTGGCTCTCAACAATTGCAGGGCTCGAAGAGTTCATGCACGTGCTTCCGGTGGAAGCACAACAGACCTACCCCTGCAGACCGCCAGAGCAGTGCTTGCAATTGCGTCGATTGCTGGCTGAAACATTTCCTAAGTAAAGCCTACTTGGCTTGCTCGTTGCTTTCCTTTTCCAGTGCCAGTCTGTTCCATGGCGCTCATAGATCAGTAGTTACACTGTCTCTAAAGACGGGATGCAGACATCACTCGGTGCATGGGCACCAGTGCAAGTGCAAATCTGTAGAGTCACCAAGAGCGACATTGCTGCACTTTTTGTGATACAGCCGTGCCAATTCGACCCTTCATTTGGATGCTGCCCGAGCGCCAGGAATCAGCAAAGGTATCGGTATCAGTTTCAAGCAAGACCTGAAGATCTCTCGGGTGGCATTGCGTGGCTGCACTTGCCAAAGGCGATGCCGGCACGCAGCAGGGGTATTTTAAAAGCGCCCGCGCTGGTTTGCTAACTTGATGGTGCACGCAGCGTAGTGCCTGTAGTCTCTGGAGCCTGAGCATTATGGTGTTTTTTGACAGTTGTGGGCCACTTCAACAGATTCAGATACCCCTGCAACATGATGTTTTTCTCAATTGCAGTCTCATGCCAATATTTTCAGCACAATCGGGTGCTCTTTCCATAAGCTGAAAAATTACATGGTGCGCTTGCACTCTGCAGGCTTTGGGTGAGACAGATGCTGTGCAGCATGAATTTCCGAAGCCCGGCTAGCCCGGTGACCCTAAATTCTAAACCCTGTCACGCGAAGAGACCTAATTACAAACCGAAGCCTTGCAGGCCTCTTGCGAGCGTGAGAGTCGAAACCCTGCCGGTGGTCTCTTGACACTTTGAGGTGCGATTCGCGCTGCTCTGAATGCTCTGGAGATCCCGGCAACTGCCTCAATCCGAGTGCGCTCTCCCGCACCTGCTTGTTGCTCATGGTGTCGTGGCTAAACCCCTACACTCCTACACTTCTACACCGTGAACCCCACATCCAGAGCAGTTGCCGGGCTGTTCCTGCGAAACCGTTAACGTCAAGATCCTTTAGCTCAGAATGGTCCGCTGGCCCATAGCCCCTATGTGGAAAACCAAGCCCATGAGGTGCCAGAGCTGCATCTCGCTGCCATCGATGCCCTCGTGACGTTAGGGCGGGGCAGACCGCACATCATCGCCGCAGCTCGGCAAACACCTTGGCCTGTGGAAACTTTCTACCCGACTCTACTACGTTCGTGCTGTGTTTGTGTGTTTGCTTCTTGAAAGCTACAGGAGATAGCTGCTCTGGTGACAGATGCTGGCACTGCCCTCGTCAAGCCCCGTGGCAGGACAGCAGCGGGTTTGCATGACACGGGGGGGGGGGGGGGGGGGTTGGTCTCCCCCACAGATTCCAAAGCGACCGTCCCCGGCCCGCGCCCCCCCCCCCCCCCACGCCAGAATAGGAAAGGCAGGGCGCCGCAAAAATAAGACCACGGCAATGTGATGATTCTCTATTACACACAATAGGCTGCAGATCCCTGAGGTGCTCAGCAAGCAAAACAAGAAGGCTGCCGACAGATTTTGGAACCCCCCGCAAAAATTCTTTAAATGTGCGACGAAAAAACTCGTTAAATGTGGAGGTATTAATTAAACTGATGCTCGGATTGAGGTGCCATGCACTCAGCAAGTTGGGAGATGTTGCTGAGCGAGGCAAGCTTTCTATAGTAATATCATGTAGTGCTCTGCACGCACCTCGTGAATTGAGATACAGTCACTGTGTTTGCATCACAGGGGCCGGTGTGCAGGCGATGGGCATGCTTTCGATGCAGTGCTGGCTGGCTTGTCTTCTCCTGACGATGATGTCCGACGAAAGGCGGTTCTGAGAGGGGAGCGGGGGATCGGAATTCCAGAAGTCTGATAAAATCCCCGCAATGGATAGAATCCCGACGTGTTTCGTGCGCGCACACACACGTACGTATATAATACATATATACACAAATAAATAAGCAGCTAAAACATAAGCAATTTTCTTATATACATATTTGTATTGCTTGGAGGCCTTGGACTGTGCGCTGCCAGCGCTTGTGGATCCAGGCTCGCAGCGCAACAACTTCCTTGCGTGGGGCAACCTTCCAAGCAACTCGCGTGTTGGAGTTTCCGGCGCATGAGAGTCAGAGATAGTGACGGTCATTGGAGTACAACTCTTCTGGGAACTGTCGCCGGATCCGTTGCTGCAACACTGCTGGTTCTGGTTCCGGCCCTGTCTGCGCCTAGAAGTGTGCCCATGCTGCTGCGCCAGCCGGCCAACCAGTGCTTGTGTGAGCCCCGAGAACAGCCATGGAGAGGGTTTGAAAGACCCTCTTCTGCTAGTAGTTTATAACAAATCCTCCTCTGCTTCCTTTTTCAAGGCCCTCCTCGAAACTAGACATCTTGAGAGGTGACCCATCAGCCATCTCGAAGCTGGCGACTTTGTTGCGGCATCGGGACCGGCACGTCCGGCCGCAGCCTGAGGCCCTCCAGAAGGCCATGGGCCCCTGCGCACGGGCATGCAAGCCACTACCCTAAATCTATATGATTATTGTTACTACTACTATTCCTATTCTTATTATGCTTGCCATTCTTATTGAGAAGATGCGAATTATTCTAAGCCCTAACAAGCATGGCAAGACCTTAAGCCCTGAGAAAGGAACGTCCCAGCACAGCCTTGGTGCTCAGATTGTGCGCCCAGGGAAACTGCTGTTGAAGCGCTCGCTGTGGCGACCGCATCTTCTGCAGAAGGCACGCAGTGTTTGGCGCAAGATACCCAGATAGCGTTCTGCAAACAGCGTGGGCTTTTGAAGGAATGGCACGGTTGCGCTGATTACTCCGCGTCAGGATTGCCACACCCGAAGTCCCCACCCTAGAGAACCCGAAAGAACCTTCTGATGTCGTACGCGAAAGAAGAAATACAATTATTTAGTATATTCAAAAGACAGGTCGCAAGAGTGCGGTCTATGCCTGCGCATCGCTCTTGGACTCCAATGACTGGGTGGCTCGTCAGTTCGCCTTGAAGGTGGGAGACGCTACACGGGACCCCTTTGGACCCTCAGAGGCCTCTCGAGTTTCAGAACTTCTGGTGCCCCAGCAGCCCTAGCAGGCCATGGCAAGTGTTGCAGATGTGGGAGACGACGATGCAGCTGCCATCGCCATCTCCTGTTTGCAAGATGCCGACCGCGACATAAGGCGCGAGCACATACTGCCTCTCCTGATGCTGCAGCACCGACTCGTGGATTCATGGGGCAGGGTTTTCCTAGGGTTTGTTAAGTTTCCCCCCGCGGGCCAGCTTCTCAAGCGCTCGACTTTGACGCACCATGGACCCTGAGGTGTCAATCCATCGACTCTCGGTTCAAGGTAAGGGGTTCCATGGCTCCAGGTTTGATTGGAAAGAGGGAGGCTTCATTGACAGATCCCTCCTTTGATACAGATGGTTAACAGCGAGAGAGAAATTTGCGCACTACCAATGTAGCAATCGTTTGTGCAAGTCCGAAGTCGCAATTGATTTTTTGCTGGATTTTTACATTGTCTGTTGGCCCTGTGGCCAAAGGCTTTTCATCGCTTAGCTCGCTACACGGGCTCTTGCGCAGCCTGCAAAGCAGGCTGACATCTCTAGATGAAGCATCTGCATGCGCTTGCTCAGTAGGTTGTCGAAATTGTGGTATACGACTGTATACCTCATGGCCTCATAGGTCTCAGAGTTCACTCTGACAAGTTATAATGTTCCCCAAACGCATGGGCAATTTTGCAGGTATTGTTCGCAGATTTTCCTTGCGCTGTTGGTTTTCTGATCTCCCACCAAACTGCTGGATCCCAGGAGATCCTCCCCAAGATTGTGCCAAAGGGCGACGTGCAGGCGCTTCTCAGCATGGCCGCCTGCTTGGATGATGATGATGCAGATGTCCAAGAGACTTGCTCGCAACTGGGGGGCCTTCATGATGGCCAAGCAAGTACGCAGCAAACGTGGGAGTCACTTAGGCAGCAGCTGTGCGGTATTTCCCGCATCTTGCTGAGCCAGGCTGTATGCTGAATGCAGCATGGCGGTCCGACGCGCGCACGCCCGAGCGGTCGCGAGCGCAAGCCGCGCACTCGTCAGAAAGGCTGTGGGGTGGTTCTTGACGCGATGATCGGGCGCCTGGCCAGCTCAGAAGGTGGCCTGGACAGCCCTTGAAGCACCAACGAAGCACCAACGAAGCACAACGAAGCACAATGTCTCTCCCGGGTGCTGCTTTGCTCAGCAGTTGGCTCCGCTCCTGCCCGGAGGTCGTGTCAGACACAGTGCCACGCGCCTTTTGCCTTGCCTTGCGCAGCAAGGCCTGGCTCACCTCGCACTGCATATGGGGGTTTTACGATCTCAGGGGTACCTGGTTGGGGTCCTATTTAACAGGGGATCCTATTCTTTAGGGGCCTATAATTATTGGGGGTCCCTTATTTTCGGCAACCCCATATGTTCTTGTGTAAAGGAGCAATGTACTTGTAGGACGAAGGCGGCACAGGCAGTGATGCTATGCTGTCGAGTTTCATGGCAGCTCATGACTTTCAGATGTCAGGAGACGCGGCATCCATCGGTGCACTGTGCCTCGTATGCCCTATGCAGCGGTGTAAGTAGCACCATTTTTGCTCCATGAAATCAAGGTTGGCGCGCCTTCGCGACGTGGAAGTCCCAATCCGTGTGTCTGCGGTTCAATCCATTGCCGCCATCATGCAGAGCCCTTCCGACCTCCAGACCTTGAGAGTGCTGCTCCCGAGCTGGAATTTGGAGGGAAAGACATCTCTTGAAGTTATACCAAAACCAGCAAGGAAAATCAAGCAGTGAGCCATAAGGCATCAGAAGGGTCTGATGAGCTTTTCGCAGAGTGAAGTCTTAAATCTTGTACGTACCGCAATGAGTTTGCCAAGCTTAGAATTGCATGTCGCTCACCTTTGCAGCAAACTCATCGTTCAGGGTGGGCAGCTTGGAGGATGAGCACAGGGCAGTGCGCTGGGCGGTGATGAATGTTCTGGCCTTAAATACGCCAGTGAGTGTGTCTCTGTATCTCGGTGGGTATATCACTAATGATTCTAATGGTTACATGCGTTTCATAATGTTCCTGAAGTCGTGTTGAAGGCATGCAGAGGCTGACATGTCGGTACTTGAGCATCGGTGGCCTTCGTTTGTGCCAGTCTGCCATAGGCCTTGCTGGGCATGGATGCGGTGCTGGATGGGAAAGCCGTGCTGCTCTGCTGAATTCGCACATTCGGAGAGCGACACGGGTTTCTCGATGTAGCTACGCTGCCCACGTAGTGTCGTGGGCCGACATGTTCGTTGCAGGCACACTCTGAGAGAGCGCCTGGATGACGGGTGCTTCGACGACGCATGGCGACATGCACGCAACGGCATCTTGCACGGTGAAGATGCACAACCTCCCTCAGCCCAGATGCAACAAAGGGTCGAAAAAGCGAAGATTGCAAGAAGTGCAAACACTCATCATTGCAGACTGCGTGTGACGAATCAGCTGTTCGTACTTCCGCATCATCTGGCCTTGCATACGCCAAAGGCCGCAGATCCTCGTCACACAACTTGCGCCGTCGGATGTGCAGGAGCAGGCGAGCAGATCGCTTGCAGTGATACCAACGTCCGTGGCTGACGTTTATTAAAAACCGTCAGTGCACTGTTGGACAGTTTCATTTTGCCAATGCAGGTGTTGCCCTCGACAGGTTCGATCCCTGACCATGAAGGCTCTGCATCGAAAAGAAAGCATTACAAGCTTAATTAGGCTGATGCTAGAGGAGCAGTTCTAGCTCGCGTAGATGATGATAGTCCAGCTTCAATCCTGCATCGATCAACTCCTCAACTCCCCAGCTCCTGAGCCCCGCCTCCTCTCTGGATGATGGGTTTGCTCCTGATTGTCTACCTGTGTCTGCATGCTTTGTGGGGGGGGTTGGAGGCGTTGCGGCAAGTGCGGCAAACACCGACTTCAAGTTCAAGCCGGTGGAGAGAGCTGACCTGAGACCAGAAGGTAGCTGGACTTTGATGGGGTATGTTGGAATTACGTGAAGCGGTTTGTGGGCGTAGTTTGCAAGAAGCTTGACGGCAGAAGTCCTATGTAGCCAGTGTTGCATAGAATGGCGGATGGCTTGCTTTCCAGAGGGTCCGAGCCCGTCGAAAACTTTGCGCACAGGTGCTGCAGACACCTTAAGCTACAGCCAGACGGTTGGCACCATGACGCAGCGGCTCAGCCTGACACGCGGATGGAGAGACATGTGCGAGGGTTTTCTGTGGAGCAGCCTGGTGGATTTGGTAGATGAGCTGAGGACTGGCACGCAGGCACATGACGCTGCTACGTTTTGGAAGTTTGCGGGGTAGTTGTTGACAGTCAGTTTTGGGTCGGAAAGGTTTTTTCTATGTTTCCGGCTTCGTGCTTGCACTGCGAAGTCGCTCTGCCTACTTTGAAGCAGCAAGATCCTCGCAGGGGGAGCACATGCTGCTGACGGATTCCCTGCGATCCTTGCAGTGCACTCAAGGGGGCGTCCATGCCTCAGATAAGTGGGCGAGTGGTCGTGCGTCGCCACCTTGCGCAGCCTCAGGCAGTCAGCGAAGTCACCTGCTTTGCTGCAGCAGCTGGCCCAGCCAGCTGCGTCAGAGATGAGAAGGTGCAAATTCGCTGTCCGTCGTAGCATGGCCCAAATCGTTGCACTTGCCGCACATGGCACAGCACCGTGCAGTATTGAGCGCAAGGGAAGGCAAATAAGCCAATCGAGAGCACAGTGTTGAGTAGCATGTTTGCCACAGCTTTGTGCAAAGCAAGGGTTTGGAACAGGGCTTGTAACTTGTTTTCAATGCGAACTTTTTGCCAGGTTGGTGAGGCCACCGCCCTCCCAGAAGATACATGTCGGCAGGCTCGGTGACAGCTGAGAAGGTGTGCCAGCGACTATTTCCGAACTTCAGACGGATGCTTCTTGCAAAGCCAAGAACGAAGTCGGAACCCATGCTGCTAGTGCTACTGCTAGTACTGCTGCTACTGCCATAACTGCTACGGCTACTGCTGCTACTGCTGCTACGACTACTACGACTACTACGACTACTACGACTACTACGACTACTACGACTACTACGACTACTACGACTACTACGACTACTACGACTACTACGACTACTACGACTACTACGACTACTACGACTACTACGACTACTTCTACCGCTACTACTGCTCTTTTCTAGTACTAGTACTACTTCTCGTAGTCGTAGTAGTAGTAGGTAGTAGTAGTAGTAGTAGTAGTAGTAGTAGTAGTAGTAGTAGTAGTAGTAGTAGTAGTAGTAGTAGTAGTAGTAGTAGTAGTAGTAGTAGTAGTATAGTAGTAGTAGTAGTAGTAGTAGTAGTAGTAGTAGTAGTAGTAGTAGTAGTAGTAGTAGTAGTAGTAGTAGTAGTAGTAGTAGTAGTAGTAGTAGTAGTAGTAGTAGTAGTAGTAGTAGTAGTAGTAGTAGTAGTAGTAGTAGTAGTAGTAGTAGTAGTAGTAGTAGTAGTAGTAGTAGTAGTAGTAGTAGTAGTAGTAGTAGTAGTAGTAGTAGTAGTAGTAGTAGTAGTAGTAGTAGTAGTACTACGAGTACGAGTACGAGTACGAGCACGAGTAAGAGTACGAGTACGAGTACGAGTACTAGTACAACAACAACAACAACAACAACAACTACTACTACTACTACTACTACTACTACTACTGCTACTACTGCTACTACTGCAACTACTGCAACTACTGCTACTACTGCTACAACAACAACAACTACTACTACGACTTCTACTTCTACTTCTACCATTGCTACTACCATGACTACTACTATGACTACTACCATGACTACTATGATGACTACGCAGCAGACGCGATACTGCAGTAGCAATCATAAGAATAGTTGTACTATCAGCAGTGCCAGAAGCAACAGTAGCTTTCGTTGTCGTCGTAAGGGTCGGAGCATGAGTGGAAGTAGCAGTAGCAGTAGTCGGAATTTGATTCAGGAAGTCTCGTATCTCATTCGTGATGGCACGAACGGACTTGATCCCAGTTGTGCTATGCATAGTTGTCATGAGGTAACTCCCAAACACCCTGGAAGGGCTGAAGGACTTGCCATACTCTTGCGCAGTGTGCACTGACATGCGGTTGTCCCCCCCCCCCCCCCGAACACAAGAAAAACTTGCATTTCCCCGGTGCTTTCATCTTCGACTCGGCCAATGTTTCAAGCCTGCCAGGCTGGCAAAAAGCAAGAGCAAGTCGGCGAAGTCACCTCCTTTCCGTCCTCACAACCTTCTGGGCTGAAGGCCCAGGCCTGTGACGTTGGTCGTGTTGCCCCTAGAGCGAACCAATTATCCCCTAGCCATGCCATAAGCGAAGGCTGTGGAGGAAGCGACTTGCTTTCCTTCGCCACCGGCCATCTCCATTGCTTCGAAGGAGCTGGTTTGGAAGATCTCGAGTTTGTTGTAGACTAGGCCCAGGCGGTGCATTCCATATCAGTGGGGAAACCGTAGCAGCTGCATGTCGACTACTTAGACCTAATCGAGCTGCATGTGTGCTCTTTCACACCCTTTTCGGATCCCAATCTCAACCTGTCACTTTTATGCCCATCTGCCCGACGCGAGTTTCAAGAAACTGATCTGACGCCTTTCCGCGCCATGGGCAGCGGAACATTCGCTGTGAGGTGGCTCGACCCTGACCTAGGCATCTCAATTTGCCGGGCCTGCCGCGGCCGCCGGTGGATATCGTGAGCTGCCAAGACGATGGCAATGACTGCAAGTACAATGCTCGCAGTTTTGGACCAAGTGCAGAATGTCGGTCAAGTCGTCGAGATCGGGCAGTCCCACGTCCACCAGAAGGAGCAGGCCAGAGTTTCCAACAAGAAGAGGTGTGTCAACTCCAGAAAATCATTCCTTGGAACACGCATAGCCCCAACACCTGTAGGGCGCAGTTTCGGAAGTGCTCAGGTACGCTGGGCACGGAGAGCTTATCAGCTCGAATCGCAATCCGTTCGCCTTGATGTCTTTGACCACGTCAAGGAGGAGATCCGCTCGCACCACGACACCTACATGGGCCGCATTGATGTCTTGCTTCTGGTCCTAGCTTTGCTTCTTGGCTCTCACCAGGCCTTAAGATGCCTTAAGCACCAGAAGAGTCGGCTCTGAGACTCGAAGATCTGGCATCACCTAAGGATTTGGCCTTTCGCCTTGAATGCCATCCAGTTCTCAGACCCATTCATACCGCAAACCGAGGCCGAGTGCGAATCTTGCATAGAAGTCCAGCACAGATGGCTTGTGCTCATTTGGACGACACTCTTAGGTGCAATTCTCGTTCTACCTTTCTGGGGCATTCTGATGCTCATCCGTTGTCGGTTGAAGTTGGATGCATGGCTCGAGTACTCCCTGGCCAGATTGAGCCAGGCAAGACGGGGCATGAACATCGCACCCCAAACCAAAGTGGGGTCATCCAGAAACGAAGATGATGAGGAGGACCATGACGACACCAAAGAGATTGTGTGCAAGTTGGTCAACATGGTCGCAGAATGTCAGGAATACCTGGGCATAATGTGGACAGAGGAATGCAGCTGGCTTGTTCACACCTCCACTAGCCTTCTTTGGATTTCAGCTGGGGCTGCACTGCTGCTTACTGCGTTGTCTATCTGGATCTTCATGGTCAACAAAGGTGGCTCACACGCGAAGTTTGGGCATTGGTTTGCCATGATTATCACGTTGGGCATGGCCGTGCCGCTGGTCTACGTTGCCCGAAGATCTTTCGACGAGCTGGAACCTCCTGGTGAGGGAACCCTTGCGCAAGCAGTGAGTAACCCAGCCATCAACGAGCCTGCGGCACGCCGTCGAAGAGCAGAGCTGCTCAGGGGAAACAGCAGCCCCAACTTCGGGCGGCTTGACACACATGATGAGGACGTGAAGATGGAGACTGAAGAGGGGACCTTACTCTCTAGCCTGCAGGAAAGGTTCTCCACCTTGCTTCCGAGCTTAAAGCGGATGTGTGGTCGCAGACGGCACAGGAGGAAGAAATCGGAGCCTCTTTTGAGACCAGCATAGAGGTCGATTTCTTCTCGCAGCAAGGTCGGCCCTTGATACTTGTGCGCAAGCGTGGTGCCCGGCTGAGCTCGTCAACGACACACTGGGACCCTCTGGCAGATTTGAAACAGCCGCCACATCGAGTCCCTTCCAATCAATGTGCAAGAGACACATACGGGGGTTGTTCTCAGTTCCAGATCCTCTTACAGATACCTTTTGTAGATGGATCCGTTTATGCGCTACTAGAAGGACCTCTTAGAAAAACCCCGGCGTAGCACGCAGACTAGGGCACACGAGTATGCCGTATGCCAAGGCAGAGAGTGGTAAATTCAAAAGTCTTGCAAAGCAAGCCTTCACCAGCTTTTTCGGCCGCGCTCAGGGAACTCGAGGCACCGCTCGGGGTCCATCTCCGAAGTGACTGGCCCATGATGCGGAAAATTGCCATAAGCAGGTTTCAGCCCCGAAATGGTGTGGAAATGGTGTGGAGTATTCGTTTGCAGCTTCGGAGTTTGGAGCCCTGTACTGCTGGCATCGCAAAGAGCTTTGACCGCTAGACCCCTTCTGCCATCGGACGTGATTGCAAGTGCGCGAAACTGGCGCTTGGGGGGGGGGGAGGGGGGGGGGGGGGGGGGGGGGACAGCAATGCACGTGCAATCTTAGCTTGAGCCTTTCCACAAAAGACGCGCATGCTGCTAGTCCCACCACTCAGCTTTCAGGACGTGGGCAGCAAGACTGGCAACGAGGCCGCTGCAAACTATGCACTGGATTGTAAAATAGCACATACACATATACATATATGCATATATATTATATATACACATGTATTTCTATATATACACCAATAAATAACATACGAATACACATATACGCACATCCGTGCATACATACGCATGTAGACATGTAGACAAACATGGTGTACGCACAAAAGCGTATTTTTGACGTGCATATGTTGCGCGGGATGACTCAGCAGTGGGCTGTGAACTCCACGCCTCCAGCATTAGGTGCAATCGGAGCGACTTCCGGCAGGGTCCAGGCGCCCGTGAGGGCACATCCTCGGGACTCTGGCGGGCTTAGGGAGTTGGTCTTTGGTAGCTGAGGAATATGAAGGCTACATAAGGCTACCTTGATTTTTCTTGACCGGGAGGGAGGAGGATTGACGGGGTTTAGGAAGGGAGCCTAACCTCCGAGAAGCGGAATAAGATGGTACAAGGGAGTTGCTTGGATCGGTGAGAGGGAGCGGTGGCACGTTAGACCAAGCTGGATTCAACCCCTCGCGCTGTTTGAGGCAGATGGCGCCTGATGCATCGTCGGGTGCGCAGTCTCAGCTTGCACTGCTGGAGGAAGTGTTCGTAACCAACTTGATACTTCCAAGTCCGGCTAATCCCTTGTGGCCAGAATGCCCCTCTTGAGCGAAAGGATGCACGAAGACTGAGGATCTGAATCGTGGACCGGTGCATGCCCCCTGCATGCCTCATCAGATCTGGAGGGCAACGCAGGTGCCTTGCTCAAGGTGCTGGAGTGGATTGAAACTCACACCAGCCGGCTAGAAACACATCAGGAGCAAGAATACACGGTCAACATATGCTCAACCCCCAATGTGAACGGTCTGGATGTGCGAGAGCTCAAGACTCACGATGCCTGGCGGACCATAAACTTTTGAGACAGTTGTTACAACAATCCAGAGTGCAACACCCCAAGGAGCTGCTCGTTGTCCACAATGGAAACAACAATCGTTAGCAGAACGTGACTGCCCTAAGTGCAGCTGCGATTCTTTACTGTGGAGGCTCCCTACAAAACCGAAAGCAATATAGCTGTTCAGAGATAGTACGTTACCCCATACAGGCCTAAATGTGAACACTCCCCAATTTGCGGATGTATACCAGGCGATGCGAGATAAAGGGACCTCCGTGTATTCAGTTTACCTAGGTCTAGCGCCATGTTCCGCGAAGTGTTTCTGTTTGGATGTTGATTGGACGGCTAGGCCTCGGCTCATCGGCCAGTTTGGCTCAAGCCTCAAGGTGAGGGCATCTAGGAGACTCCGGGGCTCCAATTAGCATTTGCCGGGGTACAAAGCCACGTCTACTTGTTCATCATGGAGGCCGCGAACGGCTACCTGCTTTTCGAGCCAGTCCAGGGCCAAAACACCAAGTACTTGCCGATGGTCATCTCCGAGAACATAGAGGAGGAGCTTCATCGCCGGGTCGCCTCCTCCGACACGATCGATAACCTCAAAGAGGATGACGGGATGACGCATCTGCCGATACGGTCGATGTCGCTCGACGGATCAATTCGTCCCTATGCTTTGCGCTGCATTTCCCACCTGCTTCGGGCGAAAACTTCGGATGAAGGCATTTGGTTTCACGCGGCCCTGCTTCTTGATCGCTTCGCAGCAAGCAACAGCTTTCACTTGGAAGCTGCCGCTGACTTGCGCGTGCTCAGCGAGCCTTGCCTTGAAGTGCGCATCCGCGAGGCCCTTTGCAGACCAGAGCTCCCGTTGGATGATCTTGACCAAGGACTTTGCAGAGTGGTTGGAGTCCACACAGAACTGCGTGACTTCTGAAGTGTCCAGCGAGGCACTCGCGCTGCATGAGAGGACGGTTTTTGGTTTTTGAGGCGCTCGACTGGCATGTGGGAGGCGCCTGTGTCGAGCACTGGTACATTGCTTACTTCACTCGCTTTGAATGCGTGGTGGGTCAGGATTTCCAAGCTCCTATCCTGCAGATGCGAGCCACATTTAGGCTGTTCGCGCGCGCTGTGGTGTTGCGCTTCTCAGCGTCTCCGATGCTTAGCCATGGCAAGTTGGCCACCGGACTGTTCAGCCTGAGCTTTGCGTATGTGGGCCTGCTGCCAATGGCCAGCCTCAAGCCGTCGACCATGAGTGCTGCAGAGTGGGGCGCGCTTTTTGCGGCTGCTCTTGTCCGCGGGCTGAGACAATGAGGCTTATGGACGTGCTCTGCTTGGTCGTCAAGGAAAAGCCGGATGACATCCGCGCCTGGTCAAGGCATGCACTAGAAGCCTTGGGCGAAAGTTTTCGGCAACTTAGCACCTTCCAAGTTGAGGGGGGAGGGGAGGGGGGGGGCAATAGCTGATTCCTCGCTCGATATGCAAAGTTGGGTGGAAGGGTGCAACAATTGCATCTTTGGGTCTTGCGAAGCATCAGATCCTGGTGTGTAGACAGACCAGATGGTTGGGCCCCGAAGCGTTTCGAAACCGACCACCAGGCCCAGAAAATCCCAGAATTCCTTTGCTTGAGAGATCTAGAACCACCATCTGGATCACGGAAGCCCCGGAGAGTGTGCGGCTTGGGACCTCGGCCACACTCGCCAAGGATTGCATGACGGCCCAATTTGGTTTTAAGTTGTATGCTCGGATGTTAGGCCATATCATAAGCCCTTAGTAGTTTCCAGCGCTGATCTGCGAGACTTGCTGCTGAAACATGTATCTTTGATTTCGCAACATGAGGGGCACAAGTGCCTCCTTCACTTTCAGCGCTAAGCACGGAGCATTCGCACCACCTAGGAGAAGTCTGCATTCTGAACCCACAGCGGCTGCGCGAATTTTTTGTTATTCTGTCCCCTACTCGATTGGTCAGGTCATATGATGATGCTGCTATGCTGTCTGCTTTTGCTGTGCATACCTGAAGATCGAGGTTCGCTCAATCGCGCGGATTCACGTAGAACGTCTGGTTCATTTGTAGTAGTTGCCAGCTTTGCATTGCGGTGCGGCACCTCAGCTGGATTCTATGCAACTGCTATGCAACTTCTGAACTCTTAGTGCTTGTGATGGCCAATGCCCAGTTCTGAGTCCTCAACCCACAGGGGCAATCTGCGATGTCACTTGCAGCTGCGTTATGTTAAAGATTTTTTGGGTCTGTAGAGGGTGGCCCGCACACCTTCTTTGCGAACTTTAAAAGCAAGAGATGGTTGTGGCAAGTTTTCCCCAGTCCGTGCCCTGCAGTGCGTTCGAAAGAGGTCAGCTAGGCGGGTGGCGAAACCCTAAACCTAAACAACCTTGCTTCGGGAGTGGTTTGGTGGTGAAGGAAGAAGGAAGGGAGGCGACGGAAAAACGTGATCACCTCAAAGCAGTGATGTGGCGTGATCTTCCAAGAGAAGGTTGCTGGGCCAGCTTTTCTTTCTTTCTTTCCAGCGCGACACAATCAACCCTGCCTGCGGTTTGGCCAGCTATGCGGGAGCGACAAAAAATCAAGGTGGTGCTGCAACGCAAGCTCTGGTGCATCACAATAACAACAATGACAGCAAAAAGGAACACAGCTAGTCCCAGTACTGGCTTAAGATGAACGACAGTCTTTTGTGAACTAACTAAGAGAAGGATACTACATGCTTCCTTCGCAAGAAAAGCTAAACTCCAGGGCTGGGCCAGCCATCCCCTGCCGATGGCGCTCCCGCCTCAGAGAAGCGTGGTGACCTTCTAATAAAGGGAATCCTTCGATGCGGGGTCCTATATGAGGGGTCCTCTATTTTTGTGAAAGATGGGGTTTAGGGTTAAGGGGGTACTCTTCCAGCGACCGCGGGAGGATGAAGCCTAGCAAGAATCCAAGCATCCGTGGCAGGGCGGGCCGCGGATCGGCCATATGCTTGTCACAGTTTTCATAGCTTTTAGCGGTTTAGGGTTTAGAATTAGGGTCACATGAGTCACATGGGAAACGCAGCCACGAAGAGCTATGCTTGCCTGCGAGTTCATCCTGAAATTGGTGAGGCCCCCGCAAACACGTGCTGCCGTCCTTGGTTGAAGATGAGGGCTTTGGTATATGCATGAGGTGGAGCAGAGCTTCTGCAGCCAGGTTCCCTCGAGGCTGTCACGATTTCCCATGCTATATCATGTTTTAACATGTTAAGGAAATGCCGGCCCAGGCGACTTCCTGCTTTAGGTCACAAGGTGCGGTTCACTTCTTGCTGACCTCGGCTCAAATGCCGGACGTTTCATGTATAGTACAGTCCATGGCACTGTCACGCAGCCTGTCTGGCACATGGCATCCTTCATTCTTGAATGCAGCGGTGCATCACGACCTGAAGCTCCTGGGCACTTGCTTCGGCATTCTGCCGACCTCGCACCCCTCTACACCCCTCAAAAAGAGCCCTCTAAGCTTCGTCCACCAGGGCGAAGGGGGAGCCAAAAGCCCCCGATCCCCCCGCCTCGGCCATGCCCCGCTTGCAGCAACTCCTGGAGGTGCCTCCTTAGCTGCTACCTACCGTCTCTTATCATGATGTCCGAGTTTTTTTTTAAACACACCTTTTGTTTTTGTTGTTGTTGTTGGCCTACTATTGTGGGTAGGACTGTTGTTTGCTACTACTGCTTTTCAAGACTTCTTTTGCTGCTGTTATCACTGTGACCTTGCTTTTATTGTCAGTAGTAGAACTACGATGATTACCAGAATTAAGTGCTCTGAGTACTATGAAGAAACTCTAAGTGGGATCTGCTCCTGTCAGTGCTTGCAGCTTGTGCCGGCCAATCCTGTACAGTGTACATCATGCCCTCCCCAGCCATTGGTCTTGCAAGGGCCTGGTCGCTGGTGGTGTGAAGGGAGTGCGGCGCCAGCTCCTGAGCGCTCGTGCTGAGAGTCTTTCTTTGGGGAGGACTGCAGTACGTCTTGCCGGATGACCGGCACCTTAGCGGGCTCGCTGCCTCAGGCGATGGCATGCTACTGCGCCCAGTCTGGCAATCAGATGCATGCCCTTGTCTACAGGCCCCGCGTGCACGGGATTACTTCTTGTGGAATCATCTGCAAGTTGGGCAAAATGCCGCACCGCTCGAACACAGCACACCCCCTTGTATGGAGATGCTCTTACGCGGGGCACGCTGCTAAGGGGCGATTGTTCGCAGGATGCCTGTCGCTCCTCGTCCTCACGCAGTCACCCGGTGAAGACCTCTTTCGAGAAGCAAGAAGGTGCGCAGCCAGACTGTCTTGGAGATTTCTAGTTGGGCAAGAGGGAGCAAGAGGGAGCAGAGCCGAATGGAGATGCAATTTTGCGGCGCTGTGAGGGCCTGAAGAAGAGATCGACGAGTCCAAGCTGGAAAGTGGTCTTCCTGATGACGATGTGCTTGGGCAGATTGTAATTAAGCTCCGATGCCCTTGACTGCGCATGCTGGCTGAACTGTGCGGTTTGTACGCTTTCTGGTAAGGAGCGGACCGAGTGTAACCTGGACTCCCTCAAGCTTGGCAATCAGACAGGCTGCCATGTGATGTTGCGCAGGGAGGGCGATGGATAGCACCTCGTATTGCGACTGACAAGTGGAGGCAAGTGGAGCAAAGAGAAGGACGACATAAAGTCAGCGTCCTGGAACCAAGTGGCGGCCCACTGACCACCGAGCTCATGGGATGCTGAGGTGGGCCTACGACAACTCGCTGAAAGGACAGGAGGTCCAAGTTTGGTGGCCGGGCCGCGTTGCGAGCTCAGATGTTCGTTAAAACGGCGGATAGATAGCGGCTAGCGGTTGCTACTGGTGACTGCCGTGGCTCATCATCCTTCGCATCCTTTGCCTTCTTTGCTTCAGACCGATCATGGCGAGTGCAACGACTTGCATGATGAGGCTTTGGTAATCGGTGGCTGTTGGGTGGAAGCGTGACATAGCTGTGTCAACCAACAAATTTCCCTTGTCAGGAGAGAGGCTGCTGGTACCGGGCCAAGCTGCTCAACGACCCATACTGCACAGATGCAGGCCAAAAGTGGAGCAGCCTGTTGTGATTCTCTTCGGAATGCTTCGAATGCCATTCTCCATAGGCCGGTGTATACACTTTGCTGCGCATGATGGGGAGCCAACGAACACCTTCTCCTGTCCAACATGGATCCGAGATCCTGATGGCATCGGCTCTTGGCTGAGCAAGGCTTCGCTGCGGACGTTCCCAATGACTCAGGCAAGTCATGCGGCGGTTGCATGCCGAGGCTGCAAGCTGCCAAGATTCAATTGGCAAGCCTGCCCCATGCGCTTCAAGATGATGCGGGTTGACACCGGGATTCCTCAGGACTGCTTGATGCTTCTCAGACCTGGCCCCCCGCATCCTCAGCCTAACACCCAAGTGCAGGAGTTCAAGCAGGCCTTGAGCACCCCGTGCTCTGCAGCCAAAGAGCCAGAGGCACCTCCCGTTCCAGACCACCAGTTTCCCGAGCGGAGTCTTGGCCAAATTTCGACGAAGGGATCTAAGGGATCATGGATTCTTTGCTGTTCTTGGGCTGATGGGCTGTCTCAGTCAGGGACGACAAGGGCGAGGTGAAGGAGACGCCGGGCGCAGCGGCAGATGAGGCAGCCGGAGAGGCCCAGAAGGCGGGCCCCGTCACGCAAGGGAATCAGGTACCTTCTGTCCGCTATCCCGTTACATCTACAACCCCCTTATTCCTTACGAAGACCTAAAAAGGTTGAGGGGAAGGCGGTCAGGGCGACGCCGTACTGTATGATGTCGGCTGCCAGCGGCTGTTTCAGGTTGCTGCGAAAGACGATGGCGCAGGACTGCGCGGGGTGAAATGTTTACTTGTTACTAGTTCCTAGCAGGGAAGTACGAAATTAGGGGATTAGGGACCTTACATCACCCTATATGTGCATATCATTTAGAGTTGCTTTAGATGTTTTACCCTTCAAGAACTGGTGAGCACGAAGTAGGGGCAGACATTGGGCATTGGTGCCAGGAAAGGATCCGGGCAAGGAGCCGGAAAATGCAGAGCCACCAGTTGGCCACTGCTCCGGGGCGACGAACGAAGCAGACTCCCGGGCTTACATTGTCAGCATGTGCTGTAGCAGCGCATCTCAGTGCACCTTCTCCCCCCCTCCGCCGGATGTCGGACAATATAATATCCAATCAAGGCAGGCTCAAGTATGACAAGTACGGGCATGTGTGTGTGTGTGTGTGTCAAGGACGAAGCCCGCATGATCATGGACCTCAAAAAGAATACGTGGTACCGCTGCAACGAAATGATGCGCTGCCTGGCTGCCGATCAACTGATCAACTCAGGGCATGAGTACCGCCCGAAGTTCCCGCAAAGAGTTCAAGCTTTCGGCGAAACATCCAAAACCCGTAAAAGCTGGACTAGAAAACCGAGTTTTCTTTAGGGACAAATCGAACAACGCTGCCCCACAGCGTGCCTTTCTGTAAACTTGAAATTGATCTTGGTTTTCTTTGCCACTCACTGTATAGAATTGTTTTTCACAGATGGTTCGGGCTTGCGTTGCGATCATATGAACAAGTAGTACGACGCTTCGTGTACCATAGTTGATATCTCAAAGACGTGGTAACGAAGGTGACATGGAGAATTCAAACCCGGATTACTTAGCATATTCATGAGCTGGGGCGTGAGCTAAATTTATGCTGCTTTTCGTGCTTCGTTGCATGTCATGAATCCTTTTATGAGTCTGAGCACCTCGTCGGTCAATTTTCAGAGCTGAGCTTAGGCTGTGAACCATGGGACATTCGCTCCTCGACAGCATCATTGTCCAGAAACATGTGCGTCCCAGGGCATGTTTGATTCCGTAGCCCGGTCTAGTTTGGGGTTCTGGAGTGTAGTGCGTCTGAGGCAAGATTCTTGATGATGAGCGCCGGTGCAAGCATTAGTCTTGGTAGTGCTGCCAGTGCATCATCAAGACAGTTACTATTGACGATTAAATTATAAATGGTATTTATGAATTAAGAGTATTACTAATAGTATTACTGCCATTAAATTATTAAGAGTATTACTAATCGTAGGCATCGCTTTGGTTCTGTGGCCAGCCGCAAGATTCGCATTCTTTAGCGAAGGAACCCGCAGTGTGGCAAGAAGAAATGCGGTCCAGACGAGCAATGCTTCATCCACCGCGTGTCCGCGCTTCAGTCCACCTACCAGTGCCCAAGAAGCATTATGCTACATGGTACCCCCCTGGTGGTCCTGAACTGCTCTTGGGATTCTATATGCCACCGCCAGGTGCGTGAAGGACTGGGCATAACTGTTGCCATGCCAGTCGCTGGGAGTCTCGGGACAAAGACACATCACTGCAGCACTACTCAACATCGTTCAATGCAGCTTCCAAAATCTAGCATCGTGACCCAGATGTTCCATCCTGTGATTCCTTTCTGCACCACATGCCAGAATGAAAACGCTTTGGTCATCACGGATGGCGACGATGCTGCCAAGTTGCTTGGCAGCCTTGTAATTGGATCCTGGCCGGGAAATCGAGACTTGCACAGCGAGCCGAATTCTGAGATCCGACATTTCACGACTAAGGCTTTGTGTCCCGTACCCTCTTGTCATCTGCAGCTTTCCGGAGGTGAAGGCTGTTGTGTCCATCTGTTTATGGCTGTGTACTATGAGTTTCAGACGCCCTGAACCCTAAACCCTAAACCATTGGATCTAATTGGGGGCGGCGGGATGAAGCAGGCTCGGGCTCGGCGTCGGCTGAACATTCGGCCGTTCCTTTGCCGGATGCCTGGAACCACCTGGAACCGGCATCTGCTCAGAAACCCCACAAACTCTTGCATGTCCCTGTGCAGCCGACCCTGTGTCATAGATTCAGCTTAAGGATCGCGGGCCATGTCCCTGAGCTCTTTGTGACGTTGCTGCAAGCCGGCCAAAGCTTCGCCAGCTATGAAGAACCTTCAAGCATCATTCTGATGATAAGGTTGAAAGGATTTGTTTGTACTTCTTGGTTAGACTGTTGGAGAACATGCCGCAAGCAGAAGGATGTTCGAAGGACATGCTTCAGCTTTAGAGAAGCTGTCGCCCGACAAGACGCCAAGCGCGGCGTGGACGGACCCGAAAACACGAGTTGGCAATGGCCTAGGACGGGCTGCACCTGTGTCTTTCCAAGATTCAAGATTGCCAGGAGTCCTGAGCAGAGTGAGACGGACGAGGTGCACAATGTGGCCAGTCCACTCCATGCTTCTGGTTGGAGTGGGGTCAAGGCCCAGCCAGATTCAAGTTGCCACGAGCCCTTGCAGGAGAGCAGCGAAGAAGAAGACGAGGAGGTACAAACACAAAGAGATTTGATTTGCAAAGACTTTGGCCGCTTTTCTCCCGGCTCCAGTTGCCAGGGAGTGGGTGATTGGCAGAATTCTGCCGATGTCTGCAGCTTAAGGGTTGAAGTGATGTGGCGAGGAGGACGAGGAGCAAGCGACGCAAGATGAGGAAGAGGCAGGTCCTGATCACCTGGACATGCCACAAGACCCGCTGTTCTGTCGGTGGCCTTTGCAGGAAGATCCTCAACATGATGATGGTATGGAAGAGGCGGAGGAGGATGAGGAGGAGAATGCCGAAGAGGACACCGAGGAGGACGTGCCCCAGCTGCACTGCTTGCTTAAAAGCGGGTCCTGTTGTTGAGCCATTGCTGTCTGGTGTACATGCGCTTGCGGGGCTGCCGTCCGACATGAGATTCGCATGTTTTCGCAGGGGTGAAAGCACATGCATCAGACCTGCAGAGCATGCAGGAGGCCATAGAAGAGGCCATCGTGGTCGCGGAGAGCGCGCAGCCTGACGCCAATATCATTGCACTGCTTAGCTTCACTAACAAATGTTGCCAGAAGTGTTGTCGAGTGCATGTAACTTGGATCACGTCAACACACGAGATGTTCACTGCAACGAACATGCACCAATGTCGACAGCTCCACACTTCAGGACAAGTCCTGCAGGTGTGGAGGAGGACTGGCCAAGGCATGCAAGATTCGGCCTCCCATTGCCCAAATCAGCATGTTGGGCAAGCACAGGAGGCAGAAAAGTAGGAACCAGGGCCCTTCCGTGTACTGATCCCATCACCCTCCAGGACCCGCTTGCCGCCCGCGAGGGACCGGAGACCGATCTCAAGGCCCGAACAGAGCAGAGCCCACGATTCCCTTGCAGTCCCTTTGCATCAAGATGCTCATACCAGGGATTCTCTGTTCACTACTTTATCTAAGGGCGGTTGCATCGTCGTAGTATGGTCCTTGGCTGTTTTGAAAGGTTCCGAAGTATTGACAATAAGGGGTATGTATACAAGGAAACCAATCAGGCCCGCTCTTTCCAGCGACTGCCACATGTAGAACAGGCATGGTTCTGATGGAGACCTTGTTTCAGTTCAAGTATGGTGGCGCAGTTTCCCTTTTGAACTGCTTATGCCTTGTCTATGCTTCTTTCAACCATTATGGATTCCGCGCGCGCCAGCCATTAATACTTAAACAGGGCATCACCGAGATTGTGTGTCGTTCAATCATGACAATAGCTAAACCTATGTTTTGCTCTTGTACGCATTTGGTCATTTGGTAGTCACAAAGTCTATTGGCTGCCGATATGTTGCCGCGGTTGCAAAGAGGGTGGAGATGCATGTGCTCCCTTTTAAGACTGGGGCACAGTAGTCGGTCACGTCGAAGGTGCAGGAGGTGATGTGCGGAAGTCGACCCACGTTCAGCACGGCGCCCCCGCTTCAGGTTTGGATGTTTGAACGAACTTGAACTGCAAGCTTTGATGCGGTGCAATCGCCGGCGTGTGTGGTAGGTTGAAGACGACAGCGACACACCAGGAGCCAATGCGCAAGGCAGCCCATGCATACAATGAAGCGTACAGGCAAGGCCTGAACTGTTCAGGCAAGTCGGCGCGAGTGACATTTGGGTATCAAGCTGCTGGGCGAGTTGGCTGGGAAGCAGGTGCCAAAATCAACGTTGCACATGGCTAGCAAGACCCTACAGGGCGCGGCAGAGAGAGAGAGAGAGAGAGAGAGAGGCGTGCGTGGGGGCAGAGGCGTGCGCACTTGAGTTGTGGCCGGAGGACAGGGGGGTGCACCCAGCGGACACTCTGGCACTGGCGGCGGGAGGGGAAGAGGGGGCACCACAAGCGGAACACCGGCTGCAGACACAAGGACACCCCGCCGTGAGGGCACGCGGGATCCTGAGACGCCTCCTACCTTTCACAGGGGGGGAGGTTAGAGAACACGTGCTGGCCGCCCTTCAAGCACTAGAGGAGTGGAGCAGAGAACTATGGGGGGGGGGAGCTGCTGGCGATCGAGGACACACCCCCGGCGGGCCCGGAAGCACCACCGGAGATCACGCACCCACACGGGCAGCAAAGGGGGGACACGGCGGAGGAGGCAGGCACGGGGGGGGATGGGCGAGCAGCCAGACAGCCACACGCCACAGCACCGGCCACCACAACACGAGGACACGGGAGAGGAGATGGAAAGAAGGGGGCTACACCGTCTGCAAGTTGAAGTACATGTTCGTGAAAATGGCAGGGAGAACATGGAGGCAAACTACCATGGAGAAGCGGAAGGGGCCACGGAGGAGGGGCTGGAAAGGGCAGGCACGGGGCAACCGACGCAACCCACACAGCCCTGGAGCCCACCACCAGTTGACAGAGAGTGGGCAGCGAGGGTGGCGGCCTTTGAAGGGCCGGTGAGGCGGAGGGGGGAAGCACAGAGGGGGGAGGCAGCTGCGAGGAGGCGGTCGAAGCAAAGAAGGCGGCTGGGGTGGGGGCAAAGAACGAGGAGATCGAGAAGTGGGAGCAGGGGCGAAACACCAAGCCGACGCCGTAACGACCGTCGAGGGGGAGGAGGACATGCACTACTGAGCCTAGAGGCCGAGGATCACCGCCGTAGGAGAGAACACGCGGGGCTGGATTGAGGGGCAGGGACATGCAGTAGTTAGGGGGTGCACTGGGGGCCGATCGACACACAACAGCACCGCCTGGTAGACCTCAGTATCACCCCAAACCAATGCCGGCAGCCGAAAGTGTAAGTGTTTTGGGGGCTTGGGAAGGTTTCGGACAGGAGGTTCGTTGGCTTCGTGAGGTTGCAGGTTAGCTTTAAAAGGGGGCGGCTGACAACCGGGGGGAAGGGCCAACTGAGCCCAACCCAGAGTCTCACAGCAAAACGTTCGGGTGAGGGGGCTAACGTATGGGGGAGGCATCACGGGGGGGTCTATTGGGGTTAAGGGGGGCAGAGCTACACACAGGCCATGTCGGGGGGCAACTCGTTCCCAGCACCACCCCGGAAACACGGGCGGGCATAGATGCCCGGGGGCTTCGGCCCCCATGCCCTTCGAAAGGAAAAGGAAAAAGACAGAGACAGACACTGAACCGGTGGAGCACGCCCATCCGGTCGACCTCCTTCGGGGGGTTACTTGCTGCGGAAGCAAGGAAGAGAGACATGGGACTATGAACACCGTAGCAAGCCCCTCGTTCCAACTGACCTTCGGACTCGCACGCCCCTGGGGGCGGCTCTCCTCTTCGGGGGGGGGGCCCATGCGTGCAGGAGAGGAGAGAGAGTGAGAGAGGGAGAGAGAGACATGGCCAGCATGTGCTTGCATAGTTTGATTGGCAGGCTCTGCGTGAGCTTGCCATTTCCGCAAGAGTTGTATGCTGTCCAAGTCAGTGTTTTGGAGGCCATGAACGCACGTTGCCTCGCCCCGGCTCCCAGGCCTGGTTTGAATATTGCTTGTTTTTGCATGGTTTCGGGTACCTTGCCGACTTCATCGTATCTTAAGTAAGGGCTACTTGGGCCTTGTTTGTGGTAGGGGAGGATCTCACGAAAACTTGCCGAAAAGCAAAAGCCCTAAACCCTAGTCCCATGCCAGTGGACAGGGTGCCTCACCTGGTTTGTCCGGGTGTGCGCGGCGAAACCCATGCCGTCAGTTTGTTCAGACCTTTGCTTGGTGAGGAGTCCCGATGTTACACGAGCTTCACAAGGACCATTTCTGCCACTTCATTGCCATCCTCTACTCCTCTACTGTGCTTGCACAGGCCTCCTATGAAGTAAGGGGTATTCCTTAGTGAAGGGGTGTTGGGCTCTTTGACTATCTCACACTCACACTGGACTCTTTTCCATTCAGGGTTCGGCCGGGGTTGCAGTTTGAGCGCCGAACTGCTGTGCACTACCCCGCTTGCCCTTTCGAGCATAAAGCCCCGGGCTTTCGAGCGGATGCGTTCAAATTAGGAGGATACGAACACAAGCATCACAAGGCGTACTCAGCTGGCTACTGCAGGTCAGCTTCACACAATCTCAGCTCCGAAAAGAGCCCCAAAGATATCCAGCTTGCTTGGGTCCCCGCAATTTCTTGAAATGGGTGAAGGGAACGTCTGCAGAAGTACAAAAGGGTTGGGACCACTGAGTCACTTGTATCGCAGTGGCAGAGACTGCTAAAGAAGCATCCGGATTCCGAAATCGTCTCCAAACACTCAAAGGGGATCAAAGTGATCCTCATGTCAACTTGCAGCCTGCAGGACTGGGAGTGGGGCACGCAGCGAAGGCCCTGCTTGCTTTGCCGGCTAGTTGTTTGGCCAGTTTGGGGTTCACAGGGTTCAGGATTTAGGGGTTGGGGTTTCATGCATCACTGATGAGGGGTTTCAGTTGCTCATGAAACCTTGAGGGGAAGAGGTTCGGCGGAGTGCATTTTGCCACGAGTGCTCTTCTCGCGTTCTGGGCATTTCTAGGGCGTGCAGGAGGGAGCATCAAGGCGCATGCTACTTGATCGACTGAATACAGAAGAATGGAAGGTGGCCGATCTACGCCGGAAACCACTGGCAGCGACTGGATCCGAAGGTTCCCCAAAGGGAGGGGTGGCGTTCTACTTAATGTACATGTTAGCTCAGCATGACTTCGAAAAAAACAGCAACCAAAGCTGGCACGGAAAAAAGGACGACTCTGGCCGCAATGTCTGGAGCCCTGAGAACAGCCTCCTCAAGTTCGTCGCTGCAGAGGCTTTTTTCTGCTGTTGCTGCGCGAGAATAGGCACTGTTGAACGAGGCATGCCGCAGCTTACGGTTATGCTACGCCAACGCGTAGTTGTTTGCAACTGCGTTGCTGATGTCTGCATCTCTAGGACACGGCAACATGGTTGGGATTCTGTCAGGGCGGACACGCCAGAGCCGGCGCTTTCCACCTTCAGCGTGCCCCCGCGGGAGCCGCGCTTTCCCTCTGGCCGAGCCAAGGCCGAGAGAGCTGAGGGCTGAGAGAGTTGATCCCACGTCATCGTCGTTCCGATGCAGGTTGTCAGTGCCACTGTGTATTCGTACCCTTTCGCAAAACGGCCAAACAACGCCGCTGTCCTGCACGGATGCAGCAGAACCTTCTAATAACAGAAGATCCGAGCTAGTGTTTTCAGAACACGAGGCGACATTTTCCTAAACTTTGTCACTGCTGCTAAGGACCTGCACATGGCCCGGAGCACCGAGTCCAGTGGCAATGCGTCACCCAAGATCAGCGAACAGACGTCTGCAACACTTGCTGGGGCCGCAAGACCCGAAAAGCGGTTCGCAACTGTGACGGGCTCACCTGAGCGGGCCGCTGTCAAGATGGACTACGCCACACGAGCGCGCAGCGTTGGCGTTGAGACCTTCTCTACCGTGGAGCGTCCAGAAAGCATGGGAAGAAGCGTCACTGGACGACCTAGCCGTCAGCCCGTTGCAGGAGCTGGCAAGTTAACAAGTTGTGGCGGGCAGTCCTGGCGAACTGGCTTCAATGCTTCTGCGAAGCGAAGGCCGAATACTGCAAGCGCAAGAGCCTCCTCCATTGGTCAGAGACGCTTGGCTATTGGCTTGTCACGCGCATCTGCCGCCTGGTTTTTTGTGTCTTTCCGCATGAGATCCACTGCTCTGCTCTGGTTTTTCTTGTGGTTGGGGGCCGGGGGGCGGGGGGGGGGGGGGGGGGGGGGGGGGGGGGGGGGGGGGGGGGGGGGGGGCGGTGTGGTTACGTCTTGTGCCATTCACTCCGAGCATCTTCCTCATTGTCTGAACTCGTCTGCTGTCCCAAGATTTCCTCTTCTGCTCTGCTTTTCTTGGGTTTGGGGGGGGGGGGTGAGGGCAGGGTTGGGCACGGCTTATGCCATGCACTGTTGCCATTCACTGTCACCATCTTCCACAGGCTGGTGGATTGGCTCACTTTTCCTGCTTTGGTTTACTGCCTACAGGCCGAAAGAATCCTAAAGTCATGACAAGGCCATGTTGAGCCATGTTGCTGTCAGTTCCATGGCCCCCTCCCCTTCCTGAGGAGAAGTTGCGTCTCCACGCGCTATGCGTGCAACCACCAAGTCTGCTGACGGACAGAGCAGGAATGTTAGCCGCGGTTCGGGCCAGCGGTCGGCACGATCTGAAAGCGCAGCAGAGGTGAGAAGAATGCCTCCATCTGGCTTTCAGCTTTCAAAAAAGGCGATATCCAAGCTGCTCCCATGTGATAGGGTCGCAACCTTTGACACTTGCTCCCAAACTCCAATGTGCAGGAAGATGGTGGCAGAGAGGGCCACCTTCTTCAAAGTGCTCTCCCAACAGTTCATGTCGTCCTGCTCGAAGGTTAGGTGGGGATGCAGACATGAATGCATGAATGTAAAGCAAACAACAGATGGGTTGGATGCATCAACGGGACGGTTTAGCTTGTAGTGCTGCCACTCAAGATTAAGGGCAGTTAATGGATTGCTTCTAGCATCTCTTCGGCAGCCAATGACGCCATGAGGGGCTGGGGCGAGTGTGGCTTGGCAGCATGGTCGAGCACATACTTGTCGCTGCTTCACGTCGTTTGGACTCTGCAGGTGACCATAATGGGCGCGATGGACGAGAGTCCCGATCCAAAGGCATACTCGGTTGGCGCAGCATAGCTGCGTAGCCCACACGCAACCCCTCCGTTGAGGGAAGCCGCAGGTCCAAAGAAGCAGGCTCACTGGGAGCCGCGGAGGTCGGGGAAGGCCTGAATTGAAGGGTTCAGGAAGCATCAGGAAGTCGAGGGTTTCAGCAGGCTTTGGGCAGACTTTGATAGGCTTGGGATTAGGATTAGGAGCTTCGGCATGTCTGCTCGGGATCAACAAGGAGCTTGGGCTAGGATTGGGATGATTGGGGCTCGAGCTTATGTTATTTGCTCTTATGGGGTCCAGGGTGCTCTGAGTTGGGCGTCTTCCAGCTGAGCCATGCTACTACACAGTAAGAATCCTTCTTGACGCTTCAAGGGAGGGGTGAGGTCTACCCCAGGAATTGGCGTTGCTGTCCTTGTCAGCGTATGTCGGTATCATACCGCGGTGGTCATTGCGGCCCAAGCAGTAGATCGGTGCTGAACTGGACGATGGACGGACGATGGACTTGGGACGCGCTGTTTTATTCCCGGGGCAGCGTGCGGAGTTGCCGCCATGTCACCAGTGCAGAGAACATTTCGCTGCACAGATTTCTCTGCCTCGGTTCTTCTTATGCTTCCGCGAGTTCGAAAAAGAGCCCGGGCCTCAAAAAGACATACCCGTTGTAGCCACAGACCATTGGGAGCTCAAAAGAGCCAACGAGAAAATGGTTCAGCAAATGGCGAGCCACTAATGTCACTACTGGTACTTCCAAGACATCGCCGAGGTTGTCCTACCGATCGGTGAAGTTCAGCTCAATGGCACGTGGCATTGGTTGGCTGGGACCTCAGGAAAGTCTCGAAACACACCAGGCATCACCAGGCTACAAAGGTCCTTTGCATCTTTCCTGCAGCATTCGGGGCTGGACAGGTGCTGTGTGCTTGCTGTAGTGGCGTTGCTTTGGCAGAGACTCTCGGCAGAATGCACCATGCAGAAAGAAGAGCGTTTCCGTTGTGAACGATCGTCAGAGGCGCAGGGTAAACTTGGGCCCCTCAAAAGTCATAAGTCCAGGGTTGGGATAGCGTGACAGATTTCCGAAACATGGCCGAGGAACTTTCGTTGGGAACTCCCATTCTGTTCACTAAATGGTCAAGGTGGCAAGTGCTTTCTATTGCATGCAATTGCTGAGGGAGATGTTGCCGCATGCCTCTTTGCTACTGTACGTGTGGTAAACCCTCCACTTTAGACTGGCTGACTTGCGCCATGTTGGGTCTGGCTTCGCAACTTCGTAAACCCCACACTTAAAACCCTAGAGCGAGTCGGGTGAGATGGTTTGTGTCGGTGGCAAAAACGACAAGATGGGGGATGGTGGGGCTGCCCAGTGTATCACCTCTTAGTGAGGGCGCCCGGTCCCCGAATATCGAGTCCTAAGAAGTTGTGTGTGTAGCTGAGTTCAGCGGATACCAGCCACCAATCGAGTCGAGCGTTGTTGGTTTCGGACACGAAGCTACATCATCCCAGGAGAGACGCTGGCAGCGCTTTCAGAGAGTGGGCAGACCCCTTTGCCGCTGGAAGCTAGGTTGGGTGCTCCAGTTCCGAAGTGGTACCGGCTTGCATATGCGGCACAACACCACCCTACACTGACACCGGAAGCATTGCTTGGAACACATGCTCGTTCTGCAAAGAAGCTGGGGGGTTGAGGATTTCGATGACAGCTCAGATTCAGAAATGGTACATAGCCGTGATCAGGCATAAGCCGAAGTGCTACCCACGGCTATGTTCGATTTGGAGCCTGTAGCATCTCTTCAAGGCTCTTCCCAAAAGGCCCCGCCTTATGACCACGACCTATCAAAGCTGACCGCAGAGACCCAAATAGGCTTCAGCAACTGCATGTCGAGCTCCTTCTGGAGGACGTTGCGACCTTTGGCTGAAGTGAATGGCGAACGGACTGGTCGATCTGCTGTGACGATCATGAAGACTTTTCTGTGGGCCGTTTGCAGGGCTCCGGCGTTTTTGTTGGCTGGTCCTCTGGTCCTGGTCCTGCGGTCCGCGTCGGTCCCCTGGTCAATTTTTGGGCCCTGCAAGCTTGCTTCAAGACCATGAATCCGTTCCAAACCCATCATGGGAGCATTGTGTTTGTAAAGCTCCAAACCCAGCATTCACAAAAAAACTACAAAGAAGCCGCGCAAGCTTGCTTGAGGAACATGTGACACTGTGAAACCCTTCCAAACACATCATGCGAGCATTATGTTTGCTTTTTTAAGCCGTGCAAGCTTGCTTGAAGCCATACGAATCCCTTTCAAACCCAGCACGCGAGCATCGTGTTTGCAAATTGGGGGGAGGTGGGTGCGGTGACCCCCCCCAACCCCCCCCCCCCCCCACACGGTTTGTAATGGATTTGTATGGTCATGGTCTGAAAGCAAGCGTACTCGGCTTGAAGATGCGTTGGGGCTGGGCGGGGCGCACCCCCCCCCCCGTTGCAAAACGATGTTCGCATGATTGGGTGTGGAAGGGATTCGCACGGTCTAAAGGCAAGCTTGCATGGCTAAAAAAGGGGGGGATGGGGGGCGCAGCCCCCACCCCCCCCATTTACAAACACAATGCTTGCATATGGGAGTGGAGAGGATTCATATGGTCTTGAACCAAGCTTGCGCGGCTGAAAATAGCATCGTTTTTGCAATCGGGGGGGGGGGGGGGGGGGGGGGGGGTCTGCCAACGTACATAAATGGTGCGCATTTGCAGGTTTGTGTCGCGTTCTTGTAAGTGTACAGGCGGAAGACAGTGTTTAAACCCGTGAAATGCTGAGAAACACTGCAACTTACATTCTTTAAAGCACGTGAATACTATGCTTGCTAGGATGTGGAGCATTTTCTTCGTAGTTACCCAGACCTGGACATGCGAAGAGCACTGGTATTTACAGTGTGAAAAAAGCACGTGAATACTGTAATTTCCACGATTAGGAGCACTGTCAAAGAGGACGAAAGTACATAAACACGGTGATTTACAGGTTTGGCACGGTGCTGGTAGCCATCCAGGAGTTCGAGACGCAGAAAACTCGTCAAACTGCAGTATCTGAAGCCTATGAAGCACAGAGGTGTCGAGCCAGACCCAGGAAAAGAACAAAATGAGAGCCAGACCTAGGAAAAAACAACCTCCGCCGTTTGCAGGGACCTTGCTAAACACGTTCAAAGTTTGAAAAAACATGTTTGAGCATGTTTTGGGGATGGGCATTCAAAAAGAATCCCCTTCAAACACGTCGTTGAAGCAGTATAAACATAGAGTCTGGAACATGGTGTTTGTTTTAAACTGTTTAAACATGTGGTTGCGAAAATGGGGAGTTTAACCGTTTACACATGGGCAACCGCTTCATGTTGCAGCTCTTTAGTGTCCCCCCCCCCCCCCCCCCAGTCGAAGCCGACTTCGTCCCGCTTTAAAACGGTCGGCGGGATTTTACATGCTCTTGGAAGGTCTGTATAAGTTGAAAGAGATAAGATAGCAAAGGAAGAAGAAGCCCTGCCTGAGGGGTTGGGGAGAGATTTGAGGACATCAACTAGGGTCCCAAAACGGTGCCCATGATAGGAGGTCAGGCTGGCTCCTGGACCACCCCTTTCCCGGATTGATCGAGACAAGTCTTGAAAAAGGGCTCCTTAAAGGGGAATTCGGCTCAGTTGGCATTCTGGATTCGGGTTCTTGGAAAGAAGGCAACAAGTCCTAAAGCCAAAAAAACTGCTCCTGGTAGCAACTTGGCTCTATAGGGTGGTACTCTCTGGACCCCCAAACTGTTGCAGTGTCCTGAGTAGCCTGGCAAACTTGACGTTTATGGGGTGGACCCCTATTAAACAGGGCGTGCCATGCTTTGGACCATTGTCGGCTCTGTCGGATCAACACGACGTGAGCTCTAAGGCTGTTGGTGGCAGTGGTTTTCGGAGTTCTTGCCCTCTACTTCCTGGGTCGTGGATGCACGAGGCTTGAAGCTTCTTGGAGTCCTTGGCATGATGGTGTGACTGGTGGCCGTGGCTGTGGCCTACGTAGCTCCACTATGTCAAGGGCGGGCCATGCAGATATCGCTACAAATAGTTCAAGAGTCCAATATAAGGCCTTGATTTGAAGCTTCAGCTTTTGGAGTGGAGGATCAGGGCTTGGGATGTGGTACCTTGCTCAGGCGGGTTCGGTTCTTAAGCGAGACCTGATGATGGTCCCCCCAGAGCCATGCAAACCTTACAAGGGGATTTACGAGAATAAGGGACCTGTAACTTTGTCCCCCAAATAGTAGGATCCCAAAAATATCATGAATCCCCCAATATATCGTACCCCCCCCCCCCCCCCCCACAATGAGGTTCCCCAGGTGTCTCTTCATCTCTTGTCAGGGGCCCCGGTCCTCTTTTCGCTTCTCCTGCCTTGCTTGCCAGGTGTCGACCCCAATCGTTCTTGGGCATCCTTCGCGACGAGTTGTAGCTGGGCAGTGAGTGCTTGACGCATATTCGGGCTTTCGGGGCTCTTGTTAAGGAATCCCTCTAAAGGTGCCAAAGCAGCATGGGCACTGCGCAGACACAGGAAGGCTGGCAGCAGCATAGAGCCGTCCTCGCCCGCACCGAGGCAAGCGCAGCACGCAATGTGTTGGGCAAGTGCCACTAAGGATGGGAGCTGGTGCTCTCATCTTGCTGATCGCGTGCGCCTCCTTTCTCGATCCTGTCGGGCGGTCTGTGGTTCCCGAACAGGAGGATCTGAGAAGTCCCATCGATATTCAGCTTCATGCGGGGCCTTAGCCTTTTCGTCTTCGTCCTCAGTAACCCCTAAATTGTTATTGTCCGCGAACTCGAAACCCCAACCCTCAAACTCATCGCTTGTCAGGAAGGGATGGGTCCACTAGGCATGAACTGGATCGTAGATTTCGAGGATCCTCAGAGTCAGCTTTGCAACACCGGATGCTTGCGACTTGCGAGGGTTTTGTGGAAGCAGAAGGTTTGTTTCAGTTGAGTCAGCTTCAATCTGCCCATTCTCAAACTACGTCATGAGTCGTTCTCAAACTGACGAATGGACGAATGGTTTGTCAGGCATGAGCGTGTGCTGCAGAGGCCACAATTCACGTAGTGCGGGGTCTGCCCGAACACCTGGAACCATCGTGCGAGCGTGAGCGAACCCGCACATGTACAACAAGTACAGCCGCGACCCCATAGCAGACATGTATAGAACCAGCGAGCAAACATCAGCAAGCACAATTGAAAATCACCATCACTGCTTCGCTGGTGAAAAAGTTTCACGGAGACCAGAATCCTAAACTCCATAAACCCTATGACTACCCTGTAACCTAGAACCCTGGTGATCCCTACTTGAGCCCTATAGACCCTATAGTATAAGCCCTATGACCACGCTTTTTTCCGACAGGACCATGGCCTGGCCCGGTCACACAAGTTTGCCTCAGTGGCATTGGCGTTGACGCAGCTGCTGGTACTCTTGGTGGTCGCAGCAGTACCTTTGCACCTCAGCTTGCTGAAAGGTCTGTCCACACCAACGTGAGGGGGCACGATGACCGCTTTGAGTTGGATGTTGCAAAGCAAACCAACCAGCCGCGACGACCAACAGTCAAACGACGCCGAACTCATAACCAAAACCCAAAACCCTCCTGCTGGCCTTGTGCGAGAGTGTGCGTCGAAACGAGGAGGTTGTCCATTCTTGCCATGGTTCTACTGAGCACGGTGCCGCTGAGCATCCTGCGTCTCGGACGCACGTTCCATCCGTTGTTGGACGTTGCCGGCCGCTCCTTGAAAGTATCTCGTATGCAGCGTTTCCTCATGGGGTCAGAATCCTGATGTCTACCGAGCAATCCGCATGAAAGCCAAGGTTGGACGAAGACGGGTTTGGATGCCAGCTGATTGGTATCGTGCCTGAGCAGAAGACTCAAGGCTGTCGCTCTTTGTCCTCCTCCCTTCCTCTGCATGACGTGCGCTGTTGAGAGACACAACCGAGGCGCTTCCTTTCATTTACCTCTCCTCCCGCAGCAGGGAGATCACCAGCAGACAAGAGTTCAACTACTCATGTCAGTGCCAGGACTGCCTGACCCACCTGTGGCCACCTGTTTCAAGAGGGTAGTGAACCCCCCCGCAGCCTAAACCCTGCATCGCTGGTCGAACTCATCGTAATCATCATCTTGAGTGGACACTTGACGCCTTGCCTGTCTTGCGCGAGAGTGGACGGCGCAACCCTGAATCACACGTGGCTTTGTTTTCTACGGCCAGGAGATGGCCATGCATCTCCAGGAGAAGGCCTGCCGGTGAGGTTTGGGCGTTGATTCCCCAAACAGGAACGGTTTGGAGTTCTCTCCTCAGAAAAAAGAGCTGGAAATTGGGCTCCCTTCATGGCCGAGTAACACGGCAAGGAACCCCATGTTGTCCGTGAAAGCTTCAGACCGTTTTCCAAACTTCTTGGTTTCTACACAAACTTTTTTTTGGAATCACCTGTTGGTTTTCCGTGACTGGGTTTACCAGTAGCACTGAATTCACGTCACCTTTTTTTCCCACCCTCGGTGTGGGGTTGTTAGAGTTTAAACTCAACTCTTGCCCTCGCCTGGTCTACTTGTCCTCGCCCGGTCTACTTCTCCTCACCCGGTCTACTCCTCGCCCAACCCCAGAGTTTCCCTGGAGTGGCCAAGTGTTCCTGCCCAAAGTGTCCCTGGAGTGCCCAACCCCAAAATGTCCCTGGAGTGCCCAACCCCGGAGTCTCCCTGGAGTGCCCAACCCCAGAGTCTCCCTGGAGTGCCCAATCCCAGAGTTTTCCTGGAGTGCCCAATCCCAGAGTTTCCTGGAGTGCCCAACCCCACAGTCCAGAGTCTCCCTGAATTCCCCCAACCGCACAGTCTCCCTGGAGTGCCCAATTTCAGAGTCTTCATGAGTCTTCCTGGCTGGGCGCCAACCCCAGTGTCCCTGGAGTGCCCAACCACAGAGTGCCCCTTGGAGTGCCCAACCCCAGAATATCTCTACCCAGAGAGGGTGGGGATGTTCGAAGTAAAATAATCAAACAATCACAGCTGCAAACCATCTGCCTGCCGGCTTCTACTCAATGAAGTCGGGGGAGAAAAAACGGTGCCAATCTACTCCTTTTGTCGTACATGGGAGGCACAGGAAAAGCTGTCTTTTTCTGTTTACCAAGAAGCCACAAAAAAAGCGTGGCCCTCTTCAAGCAACTAACATGTCAACCTATCTTACAGCCTTTTTGGTTTCTACAATATGGCATCCCGAAAAAGGCGCCTTTTTTGCACGTTGGGAGTCGCGAAAAGCCACCTACTTTGTGTGACTGGGTCTACCAGTATCACAGAATGCGCGTCGCCGCTTAAACAAAAGAAGGTTCCAATCATCTTTCGCCTCTTGCCAAATAGCACCCTGTTGTTCTGTACATGGGAGTCAAGGAGAGGCAATGTTTCGTGAGGCGGCAAACCATCAGCACAGAAAGGCGAAGCTTCAAACATGTTTCAGCTGCTTCGACAGAAGCCGTGTCCGACCATCTTTCAACCACCCGGCTTCGTGCACAATGTGCAAGTGGCTTCTTGCTTGGTTGGGCCCAAGAATGTCCAAGAGCATTTTGACCTTTTCAAGGTCTGGATGCTTGTGCTGTCAGGCTAGGGCAGGCACGGTGCAGCACACATAAACAGGCGCGACATCAGGCACCGACGATCTTGGCTCAGGCCAAGGGAGTCGTGCCAGCAGAACGCCGATATGTTTATTCAACACCTAAGAGCCTAAGAGGCTTTGTTCAACTGAGATCCTTGCTTGGGCAGTTCAATCTGGGCCTTTGCTGGTATGATCTTATTGTCTAGCAAGTCTAGCGTTTAGGGTGCCTTTGTAATTCTCGAGCGAGAAGATGCTACAATGTAGGGGCTTGACGATCTTGCGCCCCAAGCTTTTTTTTTGCGTTTTGCAACGGGCTTAGGGACTTAGTGCCCCAAAGCCCAAAGCCCCAAACATGGGTGGCCAGTCAGGATGTTGGGTTTCTGGGCTAAGAGACTCAACAACAAGCCTATGGGCTATGGACCTACTGCCTCACCTGGTTTGTCCGAGCGTGAGCAATTTAACCCTCCCTAAGCATACCCGAAAGCGAGTTTGCATTGGTTGAGGTGTTGAATAGGGTGCCTTCCCAGTCCCCTTAGCTGAAAAAGTATCGTAAAGTTGGGCTCTGACGGCACTGTGCAAAGCATTCTCTCTGCAATTGCCCCGTGGAGCATCGCTGGACGGGTGGCAAAAGAAACCCTAAACCCTAAAGCTGAAGTTTCTAGGGTTAGGGATGACGGGGACCGATGTTGGTGTTTGCACGTGTCAAGGCATCATCGAATGTTGAAGCTACTAATCTGAGAGTGGTGTTTTTGGGGACCTGCGGAGTTAAACTTCGCATTGGTTTGTGCGTTGACCTAGTGTTGAGAAGCATCCTGCATCAACAAAGTGCAGTTTGCTCTCGGCATGCGTATCATTTGATGAAAGGGGACGGGGATGGAACACCTGAATTGTTTTGTAGCTCAAAAAGCGTGTGCAATCCTGTTGAACCTTGTGTGATGGCTGCTTTGTGCCCAACCTGTTTGGACACTTTTCTGCGATGACTTAATAGGCACTAATTTTCCCTTTCAAGAGATAAAGGTTCCGTGCAGTGTGGCCTCTGTGTCAGGCAAAAGCAAGAACCCCCAACCCTGAACCCTAAACCCTAAAGCGTAAGCAGCTCCAGGAGATCGAAGCAAAGTCAAACATGACCCTGGCACGCGGCATGCAAAGCCTGGCTGGCCGCCGATCGGAGCCTGGGCTTTCTTTGCCGGAAGGATGCTGTACGAGTTTTTTAAGGCTTTGGGGTTTAGGGTTTAGCGTTCAGGGTCTGTACGAGTTTTTGGGGCTTTGGAGTTTAGTGGTTTTTGCCCTCAGTCCTGGCATGAAGCAGCTTCCAGGTTCAAAAAGGTTTGTTTGCAGTGTCCCTGCTATTGTGGCAACTTAATGAAAGTTTCTTTTTGAGAGCCCAGGACATGGTCCTGATCCTCACATCGAACCTGGAGGCAAAAAAGGGACATGTAGTCGATATTGGTGGGTAGGTCGTGGCAGGGCTTGGGGTGGTATCGCCCCTCGCGCGAACTCCCAAGAAGCCTTGCGTCATAATGACGCTAGGGCCGCCTCTGCCTGGTGCAGATGGTCGCAGGGGTCTTACAGGGGGTCCATGACCTTAAACCCTAAACCCTAAACCCGGACCCAACCGATGCCTTGCCGGTCGTGTGCGAGTGTAAGAGTCGAATCCCTAAACCCTAACTCCATAGCAGGTTCAGAGGAGGTCCATAGAGGTCCGTGCGCGGATGATAGTAGAGGATCCTTATGCTTAAGTGTATAAAAGGGGGGGGCCGATGCAAGAGCTGACGGGAAACCATGTCGCACCCAAAACTCCTCATAAGTAAAAATTACAATTATGGCATGGATTTTTGAGCCGTATCTTGGCCTAAATGTTTGCATGTGCCGGCTCTATCTGGCTGGGGTGGAGTGATCAAAAACGGCAGGCCGCATTGCCAGGACCCTTGGTTTATCTCCCTTCCCAGGACCGGTACCCTTGCCCTGTGCAGGCTCCATTTAGCTCTGCCCTTGTATCTGTGGATCTGAGAAGATACAGTGCAAGTTCACCCATTTTCTCTTTTCGGCACCGGGCACACGGCCAGCTTCAGTGTCCATCCACATGTGTTGCACTTCGGAGGTCTGCAAAAAGATGTCGTGTGGCCCAGGTTTGGTGCTCCACTGCCCTGCAGGATTTGTTCTTCCAGCAGGCCGCGTGGAATATTTTCAATTCCTCGGCCACGCACACTGCTTTCTCGATGCCAGGAAATGGATGGTCGGTCATTCCTGGACGTCTTGCCGCTACATCAGCACGAGCTGTTCCTCTCGGCGGTCTCCCGCGTCAAAGAACACAAGCTGCTAGGTTGCAAGGGTTTAGGTTTAAGGGAACCCTAAACCCTAAACCCTAAACCCTAAACCCTAAACCCTAAACCCTAGGGGGTAGCTCGAACTCGGCCTGGACGAAAGCCCGGTCTCTGACACCCGGTATTTAACCGTCAATTCCCTGCAGAGTGTCCGAGAGGTCAGCTAAGCGGGTGCCAAAAAAAAAACCCTAAACCCCGTGGCAAAAAACAACCCAAGCCCTAAACCCTGAACCCTAAACCCTAAGCCCACGTTGTCTTCAAAGGAGGCCTCCACTAAGGTCTGCTGAGTCACTGCCTGTCACCTTGACCCGCGGCTATGCCAAGATCATCCTGGAATACGCTGGAAGTGAGGACTCTTCGGCAATGGAGGGTTCACTGAACACCTAGTTCAAGCATAATAAGAATGAGAGCATGTATCTGCAAGGAGGCCCGTTATGTGATGTCGATCTTGCTGGACGAAGCAGAGGATGAGGCCTGCTGTATTGCATTGACTCTGTCTTGTTCGGCGGATTTCGGAGAATCTCGGATAGGTCGTAACAAGGGTGTTCGCAACTGGTCCCAGCGACAATCTGACTGGCAGAATGCTGCATTGTCCAACTCCGAGCGCGTCTGTATGTTAGATGCCCGTCCAGTTAAACGTCAGACAGCAGTGCTGTCAAGTGTCCATGTTCGCTGCTCGTCGTCTCCTTCGTCGCCATCGTCATCATCAACGCAGCAGCAACAACAACCACTCGTGGATGTTGTGGTGGTTGTGGTTGTGCGGGTGGTTCTGGCGGTTCTGGCCAATCTGGTGGTTCTGGTGGTTGGTGGGAAAGGCACTTTGAACTCGGGCCCGCATTGTTTTCTTCGCAAAGTCCATGGGCACTCGAAGAAATTCCCTCAAACGAAGTCCCAGACCATCCCTCTTCAAGGACTGCGCTTCATGGCAGCATTCCAAGCACGCACACGCACACACGGACACACGCGCGCACGCGCGCGCGCACACACACACACACACACGCATGCACCCACACACACACACACACATACACACACACACACACATGCACACATACACACGCACGCACACACACACACAGACACACACAGACACACACAGACAGACACAGACAGACAGACAGACAGACAGACAGACAGACAGACAGACAGACAGACAGACAGACAGACAGACAGACAGACAGACAGACAGAAAGACAGACAGACAGACAGACAGACAGACAGACAGACAGACAGACAGACAGACAGACAGACAGACAGACAGACAGACAGACAGACAGA